AGCCAATATTACTACTTGTAAACAGGAAAGTAATTATGTTGAAAAATTATTTTTCTTGATAAATGAATATAATATAATATAATATATTTATTTATTGTTATTCATTTATAATATAATATATATAAATGAATAACATATTATATTAGGTGGCAGAGTTCAGTATTACAGGGAAAATAAAAACATACTTGCTCATGACACGTTCATGAGCAAATATGTTTTTATTTTCCCCGTAAAAAAGTAAGTACGTTGTTCTTTGATAAGGACCATCCCATTTCCACCATCCTACAAAAAAAGTAGTTAACCCTCCAGAGAGATAACACATGAAATGAGATGTGTCTCGAGCGTCAGTATAAAATCTGTGACGTCCGCACAGTGTTGCTAGCTGCAATCATTTTAAAATTATATATTTTTTAAATATAGAACAAATGTAAGGAAACCTGAAATAGAAATATTTTTAAGCCATATTTTTCATTATTCTGCCACTGATTTCAGAAATCCACTTTTAAGCCAGCAAGAAACTAAATAACTCTAAACGCTATTAACAAATGTGGAAATTTACATTCTTAAGTTACAATATTATAACATATTGCTGTTTGAGTAATCAAATTTATCAGTCGTGACCATAACAGACCAGTAATTTTATTTATTTTTAGGTTTTTTTTTTATTTCCAATACATAGAATTTATATAAAATTAGAATATCTGGCAACACTGCGACCCTATCTGTGTATAGAGCGGAAGGTTTTATACTTTTTATTTTTGTTCCATTCGTCGATTCCGTTGTTTATCTGTATGTTAGCATTTGACATTGGGCTCGTTTTAATTTTTTTTATTGAGTTCCCGATATTTCCACAGTTTTTCAACCGCCACAATCCCGGGTAAACTAATGAGCTGCGGGTAGATGATAAATAATTTTCTTCTTCTTTTCTAATTTTATTCTTTTATGGGCATTATTCGTCTACTTTCACACGTGTTCGTTTGTTGCTACTTTTAAATTATTGATTACTATTAAATCACGATTTTTACTGATTATACATATGGATATTAACCTCTTCAAATTTAAAAAAGTAGTTGAAATTGTTTGTTAATAAATAACGTATAGGTACGTATACAAAATATATTAGGCCGACTTTGACGGCCTCAGGGGTCTAGCGGTTAAGCATACCGCTTTACATTCGATGTTCGCGGGTTGGATTCCTCGCACGGTGCAAATATTTGTATTCATGAGTATGATTGTTTGTATCCATCTGTGTATTTTCTATGTATACTATGTAAGTATTTACAAAAAAATATATACTTAAGTATTTATATCAATTCTCTAGTACCCATAACATAAGCTCTGCTTACCGTAGGATAAAATAGCGTTGTGTTAATTGTCCTAGGTAAAAAAACAATGCGAATTAAGTTGTACCATAACTTGTTTTTAATTCAGTAATATGTATCTGCTAACAATCAAATCATTTTAGGACAGCAGTGACATAATGTTATATTCAGACTTAAATATTGTATCTATTTCTTCTTTTTTTTTATATATATATACTTTTTAATATACAATCGATTTGTTTATATATAGTAGATATAGAACCTTAGCTAAGTCCATTTTTGTAACTGTTTTTTTTTTGCACAATAAACTTATTATTATAATAATTTTCACATTTATTGTCTGTAGTAGTCCTCTGAATTGAGTACAGACTAAATAAAACTTTATAAATACAGAGAACATCAATTCTCAATATTTATATAAACCCTTTATAATATATAAGTATATATTTACTTAACATATTATGTGTATTTGTTATCATATTTATTCAACCAAAGAATAATATTGCCTATTTGTTGACTCCATAAATCACGGTCATAAAGTGTATTTCTTAAGTCGATATCTTTTTTATTTTAGTAGCAAATATCATATGAGGATTGTCGATAATATTTCATATTGAGAAACGTCTTGTAATATCCCTTTTAGACATTATCAATCAGTTGGATGATCATTTATCTTTAGCTTTGATATATGTGGTGATCCTATAAGTGGAGTCCAATTATATCTAATAATAAATATTTCTTATCTGCACAAATTGATAGTATATATAGTATAGTATAGTGTATAAGTCATCAATGATTTAAAAGCAAAGATTTTTTTTATTTATAGAATATTCTACTAAAATAACAGAATTCAATCATAACAAAATTAATGTACTTATTATTAATATATATAACTACAGAATCATCAAAGCCGATGCAAAATTCACGCAGATATCGTGTTCATTGCGTGTATAAAAATTTCAGTCCAATCGAAAACATCATATATGTATATTGACAGCCTCTTTGGTCTAACATGTCACCATACTTCTTATGGTCGCGGATTCAAATCCGCACACAAAGGAAACATTTGTATTGATGAGTATGAATGTTAGTATATTTTGTATGTACCTATATTATATAAAAAGAATTTAAGTATTTGTAACGGTTGGCTAGTAGATACTACAAAGCTTCACTTCGCTTGGACAGTAGAAGAGTGTGGAAAAAATGCACATTATTATATTATTTATAAAAAAAGGTATCTGTGGGAGTTATCAAGTGTTATTATTGTAGAATTATTCTATAAGAATAGATTAAAAATAAAATACATAAATTTATAATTTATTCTAATTGAGTTAGACCAAAAATTTTAAATATACATCAAGCAGTTACATTATTCATATGAAAAGTAACCATCTGTTATATAAAAAGCATAACAAAATATGCGCTTACAATTTCCAAGTTCATTTTAACTCGCTCCATGTTTATCTTTCTGTGAACTGCTTTTACTATTTGTAAAGTTCTGGCAAATGAAATGTTAACACAATTTCATATTTACATATAGCGTACAATTTTCTATTCTGTTATCGCGTATAATATCCGAGAAGAGAACTATAATGGTTTCGAATTCCAACCGCTATGAACTCACAGTCGCCATTTTTCCCAGAAAGTATTATGTGAAAATCATAAAAATCATGTGGAAATATTAAGAGCTGAATGCCTGTTTATCATCTCTGTGTTACTATAAAAATTAGTTATAGATATCGTACTAAATGTGATTTTTATAGTTTTTCATCGATGTTCAGTTTGACGGCATTTTTATGTGCATGTTATGAGATATAGTCTATATTAAATGCTATACTAACTTCATGTTTATTTTTGCAATCGACAGAGTTACTGCTTCCGTCTTAATTGATAATTATAGTCGGTGGTTTTGTGGAATGACATTTCATTCTACTGATCAAGTAGTCACTATATATTAATAGTCATTGACTATTAAAACATAGTGACTACTTGATCAGTGCCAGCATCCAATGAAATATGAACGCAATATAATGTGTTAATTACGCGGTTGGAGTGACGTCATGCGTCATTGTTCATGATACCTGCATGCGTTGTTACACGAAATTCAGATTTAGAATAGAGGTATCATCAAAAATTAAATAAAAAAAAACAAAATACAGTCAGGCTCAATTACTTTACGTCACTAGAAACATAATAATTTATGTATGAATTTTAATATATAACAGTTTATTACTTCAACACGGCCTATTTTCAGGCATTTGTTTGCATAGATAAATTTTCAAGATTTTGTACAAATCTTTTTACTATATTTATTTTTGTGTAAAAGTATTCAAATTTTTTTTCTTAAAACATAACAAGTACAAAGTAGTACAAATTACATAGATTCAGTGTTGGTTCATATCTCTTAGGGGCGGTGCCATATAAAACATAGAATGATTACAATCATTAGTCGCGATCATTGTACCATGACGCCACCACATAATTTTGAAGAATAAAGGAGGCGTCCACATGTATTTTTATAAATGACCTCGGTAGTCTAGCGGTTTACACTACCTTACGATGGTTGCTGGTTCGATTTCCACACGGTTCGAATTTGAATTCATGAATGTGCCTATTTGTATCTGTCTGAGGGTTTTCTATGTATATTATATATGTATTTACAAATAAATATATTTATATATCAGTTGTCTAGTATCCATAACACAAGCTCTGCTTAGCTTGAGACTAGACGGTGCTGTATGTATTGTCTAAGGTTGTTGTTTATTGTTACATGTAATTTTTAGTAGGTAAGAATTTCATACATTCCTTCCCCTGCCCTCTGCATGTAAATAATCTTGGTGGAATTTTTCTACCCTTTAAAAAAAGGGTTACAGTCATTTAAATTCCTCTTCCGCCGGTAACTGGATTGGAAAATTATTTCCCTCGAGTCTTTTGATGTACAAGTACCTACCGGATGCAAATTTACGTAATACGATAATTAAGGAGACACCCACTGCTTCATTACGAAGTAATTCGGTCAATGAACATTAGCAACAAGAAATAAAATTCCGAAATGTGTTTTACCCATCGCCCGCTAATGAGTCTTTGAGAAGATTGATGGAAAAATTGCGAACAGAAAATTGTTTTGTGGCTGCGAGCGACGTAATCCCTCCCTCAAATAAATTTGGACCTCGCTATATTAATTGAAACAACATTGTAATACCTTTTTCGGTACAAATTCTCTGTTGATTGCTTAATTACATTTTTGTATTGTTAAAATAAATTTTCAACGACTTTGTAAAAGAGTAGGTTTCCGTCAAGTAGTTAGAGAAATATATTTTCATTGTATATATGATACGCAACATTTTCGCATATTCTGCAGCTATTTTGATGATTGTTTTAGCGATTCATATATTGAAGTCTATTTAGTAACGTCAATTTATTTTATATTACTCTACTTTAAAGAATAGTTCATAATATCATTTTCATTCAAATAAAATAAAAAATAAATTAATCATGTAGGACATTTTAGCCGCTTCTGAAAGTCATTAATTCTTTTGCCAATTTCTAAAAACAGTTAATTTACTATATAAATAATATATTCTGCAGAAATGTACATATTTTATATTTTCTGAGTATAAAATGATGTCATAATTATAGTGGCATATAAATAGATATTATAACGTCAAAATAACTTACCTCATTAACTCCCCTCACGATAGCCCTCATTGTGGCATTTCTAGGCCCATCCACAGTCCTCCCGTCGTCGGTAGGACCCCACGATGCACTATAAATATGGATCTTGTGAGGCTCGTGACCCATGGAGTTTGCCTCAATCAGATCCGTCATGTAGGGTTGGTCCAACATTCTAATACCTAAGAGAAATAAGAATAGGGTTGTTACCAATGGTATAATCTATTCTGGAGGGGGGAAAGGGATTGTTAGCAATGTGGAATTATAACCCCATTGCTAGCTAATTGACCTGACCTCATACTCATCTTATCATCCTCCACTGGTGCCTAGCCAGTATGTGAGAGTACACCATTTCATTCTCATTAAAACTATTCTGGATGTGGAATGGTCATTATTGTGTATTGGCTTGTCAGGGTGACAAGTGACTATTTCCTGGTAAATTTGCCTTTGGGTTAATTGACCTGACTTCATGCTCATCATATAACACTTCACTGGTTCATCGCCAGGGTAGGCCGTTAGCGCAGTGCGTCATTCCATTATCATCCATAAAAATATCTATTCGGGATGAACCGTGGAGTTTCATTAAAACTTAAACTAGTATTGTGTTCAATAATATCTAGATAACTTTTAATCAGTTATAACTTTGATTAATTCAATAACTTATTAGTTTTGATAATGTAATTTATGTCTATCCATCAATTGATGTACTTTTGACTAGTTTTTTTAACTATCTTAATCAAACAATCATGTAAGTATTTAGAGTTGTATAGAAAAGAATACAGACATGTATATGTAATGTATATGCTGTGGCAGACTGTTTTTTAGAACTTTAAAAAAAATTCTGCAATACATTTTGTTATAACTGGAATAACTCTACGCAGCGTAAGCCAAGATAGCTCTCACACTGAAAAATTTATTTCGACTTTCTTGATACTTATCTTAATGATAAGTAGTTCGCTGAATTTACATAATATCCATTTTAATTATTTGTCATATATTATTTTGATGCAATATAACTGTAAAGTTTCATCATAATCCGTTCAAAAGTTGCGTCTAAAAGCAACATATTTTAATACATACATCGTTAAATTGGAGTCTATAATATTAATATGATTACTTATTACTTAAACAGTTGTACACAAATTTTACGAGCATAAACAAACCGTAAAAATGTTTCTACAAAACACTAAGATATATATATAATCCAATTCATTTATATGATAACTCACGTTTCACATTGCTCGCCTTTTTAGCAAAGCAATTACCTAATTGAAGTGAATTTTCTTATTGTAGGTAAGTAAGTATATTTTTAGCACGTAACATTTTATAGACAAGATTCTGATTTTTTTTTCATGCTAAGGTTATAAATTGTGGAAAGGATGTCAGTCCGTCTGTCTTATTTTTACGTTTTCACTACGGTTGAATGAAACTTAATGAATTAACTGAACTATTCCGAGGAGCTATATCTTTTTCTAATAATATGTAAAGAGATAAAAAGTTTATAAAGCCAAATAACAGGTAACAGCTAGTCATTGAACTTGTATACTCTTGATTATGCTTGAATAGCATGCGAAGTCGCCGATGTCCTTCTCCACTCCAAATAATACATAATATGACTTTCATGACAATTCATGTAAAATCAAACCGAAATAAAATATAATTGTTTATGTATGTATTACGTTACTATATACTAACATAATATATAACATATGTTACTCTGGAACATTATTTTAAACAGTGAAATAATTTCTCAAATCCGTTTACTTTCCTCATAACAAAATCCGTTATGAGGAAAGTAAACTCCGGCACGGTGTCTCTCTTTATAAGTATAGACTCTTATCAAAATTAATTAAATAAATAACAAGACACTTTAAACCTACTGGTATATCTAGCTAGCTAGCTTTGATAATAAACGTGCTGAATAAAACCAAGTTATAGTGTTAGGAACGGATATCAGATAAAGCAAGAGTAGATCTGGTTACTTGTTAGCATTATATATTCAGATCGAGTCTGGAAAGAAATATCTAAAAGGAAATTATGAATAAACTTGAAACTTTCTGTAGGTCTCGGGTCCCTTTACGCAGAGAAAGTTCCGAGGTTTAAATTGTTCAAACTAAAAATAAAAGGAAGTTCGAAGGTATAGAATTTGCGCAATTCTTCTAATTAAGAAGTACCGGTCGCTAAAATAAGAATCTTAAATATTTATTATCAAAAAGTATTTATATTTAAAGTTTTTACTTCTGTTTGTTTTTCTTTCACAACAGCAGCTACTTTAGAGATTTATGTATACTGATAGATACCTTATACAACGAATAAAGATTTACATCACTATTAAAATAGACCCTTAACACATGAAAAAAAATCTGTCTGTCTGTATTTCTTTGGGTGTTTTTTACCCGTCATATTTATAACTACAAATAATAATAATGATATCTTAGGACAGTTTATTAAGTGCCATCTAGTCCTAAGGTAAGCTAGGTAGAGCTAATGTTATGGGTACTAGACAATTGGCACAAATATATAGGTATATATTTTTTTGTAAAATACGTGCACATTATATATAGAAAACACTATGACCAATCAATCAAATACAACCAATCTTACTCATGAATACAATGTTTATATCCATTCTGTTGATGGAATATTGATTATAAATTATTTTATTTAAATAGAATATGGCAATTATAAAGATATACTTATTTGTGGTAGTTCTCACATCTAATCATTTTATAGATGATAAAGTAATTTTTTTAATTAAAATTTTAGTTCATCAATCATTAATAACATAATAATTTAATTAATATCATATATAATAATTTAATAATATGAGTTCTACTCATATTATTAAATTAAAATATATTAGATCACTTATTTAATTTGTTTTTGAAACATTTTTGCGAAAATCGCATAGAAGGTTTAGGATAGAGGATGTATAATTTGTTAATGTTTTGTATAAAGTTACTAAATAATTCGCTTGTATATTATAAATAGTAATACGCCGCTAATTGCAAAACTATTTTGCCACCCGCTGATGGCAATCAATCTAATAAATATAATATGATTTATTTTGCGGAATAACGTCAAATACTCGAATTAGTAATATCCACAATTTCACCAATAGTATATGTCACGCATACATCAATAGAGTATATGTAATATGACTAATGTGACCATTTATATTTGTCACATAAGGACGCTTACAAATATAAAAATAAAGAAATTTAGTTTATTCGGCCTAGCTGTGTAACATACCGGAAATTATGACCTTTCCTTTAAAATTGTAACAGGATGATGTCTGTATATTTTCCATATTAAAAAAAAATTGTAGCCAAACATATATCCAGGAAACTTCTACGTTTCTGGGAGGAGCTTGGCTGACTACTCTAGTAGTCTCGGCTCTACACGCACAATGGCCCAAATGAGAAGCTAAATGCGAAAAACAGTGTCCAACATACAATATAATAGCCAAACATATTAGAGCCAAAATTAAATTATTTTTTTTATATGACAGTATGTTTGTTTTTACAAACATTACGCAAAAATCTATCCATAACATTGGGATTAGTTTTCTGCCCCTCCCAAAGTGGCATATACCTATATGTATATGTGCCATTTTGGGAGTATGTATATGTGACACTTCAAGTGTAGAAACGTCATAGTCACTGCAACTATGACGTTCCTACAAATGAAATGTCAATAGATTAGAACTGGAACGTTGATGTAGAAATATGACGTTATTGCACCCACACAAACTATTGTCACTATTTGTGACGGCCTCGGTGGTCTAGCGGTTCAACACACCGTCTTACTTCCGATGGTTGCGGATTCGATTCTTCGCACGGTACAAACATTTGTATTCATGAGTATGATTTTTAGTCTCGGTCTGGGTGTTTTCCATGTATAATATGAATGTTTCCATGTTTTCCATGAAAAATATCTATGTAAATGTATCAGTTATCTAGTACCCATAACAAAAGCTCTATATAGCATAAGTTCTGACTAGATGAAATTTCTGACTGGCGCTGTGTAAATTGTCCTAAGATTATTATTATTATTTGTTACAGAGCATATAATATCGTATCTTCAGTAGTCCAGGTATATTTATACTTAGTAATATATTGTTTTCATATTTTTTTTACTTACTCAACAATTATAATTAATACATATACTTAGATAAGATTATGTCTAACAGATCACCGCGGGACAAAATTTCAGCTTTCCTGTTTATAGACAAACTGAAAATGGGAATATCCCGCCCAAAGCGGTAATCATGATCACCCTAACTATGATGTTTCTGCACGGGACGTGTCAGTTTATTAGATAGGTAACGGTCGATGAAGGAATGTGACGTTAATAGCACCTACACAAAATATTGTCACTATTTGTCACAGAATATATAACATCATATCGTGCACTATCACGCGTAATTTTGGTAGATAACCAAATGGGTAATAATCCATATACGTCTGGGTGTATTGAAAGTGGCAGATATATTATGAGATTAAATCGATATGGGTTAATGAATATCGAAGCTGATTGTGATTCAAACTAAAGTACACAATAATGGATATATATATGTATTTTATTTTTCAACACACACACAACATAAACACAAGCTCCACGCTTGTGTTTATGGGTAGTAAACAACTGGTAGAAAATACTTTATTCCAAAATAGGATGCAATTATCTTTCACAGCTGCCGAGCCTGTGATTTGCATAAACGAATGTACCATTCCATGTGTATGCATTCATAAAACTCACACAAAACTATTTAGTCTTCAACAAAGCAAACATGAAAATACATAATTCCGCAGATTACTTATTTATTATTTAAATTCCCATCACTTTCCTAAGTGGCAGAGCCATTATCTTAAACTGTCTAAAACTTAGAATGTGAAATGTTTGTCTTAAATGGGACATAAGTGTGGGAAGTTATTAGCTTAATTACTTTTCTTTTAGAACTACTACTGTCTCTAGAGTGTACATATTACAAAGTAACTCTCGAATTCACCTGACTTTCTCCGAAACCACAAGTTACTTCTAAACCCAGCAACAGATTTAGATATGGTTTTCCCTAAATTTAAATATATTTTATCCAGCAACTTTTGGTAAGTGGAGATCTTTGGAGGAGGCCTTTGTTCAGCAGTGGATGTCTTCCGGGCAGAGATGATGAAAATGATCCAGTAAGTTTTTATTTATTACATACATATATATTAACTAATAATTATACCCGTACGAAGTATGTTAACTACATTTGCGTCACAAAGTCAAAATTTATCATATAATGAAACTTTCAGCCACTTATGAAAGTCATATTTTTATCGCAGTCCCTACCGTCCAGTTCAGCTACTTCAGACAAGAAGAACTGGTAAGAAACTGAATTATTACGATTTATATTTTTATAATTATAATTAACTTTAATTAACAACATATATATATATATATATATATATATATATATATATATATATATATATATATATATATACGACACCGAACGAATAACGACATACATGGTCTTCACCTAAATAATCGTTTACAGGAGTAATTATTTTTTATGAGTTAGTGATATACTAACTGATAAAATAAATATTATAATATAATATTCTAAATAAAAAATCATAATAAAATAAATTAATATAACATAATATAATAATCATAATAAAATAAATATCATAATAAAAATATATTAAGAAGCAGATCCAAAATAACCTAAAAAGAGAAAGAGATTGTAAAATATTTTAATATCCAGTTCTACAGAATTGTGCGTTCAATTAAATAAACTCTTCGCCTTTATATAGGTATATATATATACAATACGTCTATAAATATGTACAAGAAAATCTATATGACTACTAAATATATTCTAGGTATACAAATCGTTACAATTAACAGTGTAAGGAAGATCGAGGTGAATCTCAAAACCGCTAGGAACGCTCTTTACTAGATGTTTCTAAGGCTTTTATTATTATTTACTGATGCCGTAAATATTATATTACATATTTCAAATCTTTTAGCTGAAACTATCTCATAAAATACGATACGGTAAGTTAATAGGTAAGTATACTAAAATATTTTCTCTCTAGTTTATGTTCGTTTTAAGATATAAAACCTTGGAAACTTAAAACATTAGAGTGACAGAAGCTTTTTAGTATTTTTATATTGTCCTGAATTATATACTCAAACTGGTATATAAGCCATGCTGAAATATTGTCTCAGAAAGATTTTGCAATATAATTATTTTTCTTTTATTATACTTTAACCACTTCATTTTTTTCGGGGATTTCTTAAGAGGGGATATAGCTCTTGAGAGCTTTGCCAAAATCTGTCACATCAACTTTGAAACGAGAAGTTTATCTCGCAACAAAAGAATAGCCATTAAGAGGGACCAAAAACAATGGAATATAACGAGTCGTTATTTTATAAGAACTTAGCGACTTTGCTGTAGACAAAGACCGTCCTAACAAACTTTGTAGGAGCTATACGCTAAGTTTAATAAGGTTTTTATTTGGAAGATTAATAGGTTTTGTTTTAGTCGTATTTCGTATTATTAAAGTTTAACGGCTATTTGTTGTATAGTTGTGTGACCTCTATTAAATGTCTTCTTGAATTCATGCTATGTGCGTATATATTGAGGTAAACAAGCCAGGCAAGATTTACCCTAGAAATGTATCACAATACATATTTATAAATGAAATAATGTGCTTCGTTTTATGTGTCTTATCGTTATTTATTAATACTGGAAGCATGTTTAATGCCTCGTGAGTTGGTCCTGTGCTAAGTGACCTGTTTTCACTCTCATCTTTTCATCCTTCACTGGTACCCCGCCGGCATACTATGTATGTATATAACATACCACTAGGACAGGCAAAGTAACGATTTCATTAACATTCACAAAAAAATACACACCTAATATAATATACATATACATATTTATATTGTCCTAGTGCCCTCGAGTGTTTAGTCTTTTATAATTTGAGAACTAATTAATTCAAAACAAGGTCTTACCCACCGCTGCTGAATATTCAAGTCTAAAGGGTATAGTATCCAAATATATGAAATTTGTGTAGGTACTTTCTAATTGTATTATGTTGTTATATATGTATAAACAAACATTATTTGTCCAATTACTAATGTTAATTAAGTTTCAATATCACTCCTTATGATATATTGATATTAAAAGTTATGGATAAGTAATATTCCAGCCATAGGGAAGATTTCATTTTAGTAGTCCTTACTTCCTTACTATTGTTTTGTTAATAATATTATAAATACGAACGTAACTCTGTCTGTCTAATAAAACTACTGAACCTGTTTAAATGAAATTTGGTACAATTTTTTATTAAAACTTTTTAATGCAAAAAAGGTTTGTAAGGGATCGATACTAGTAGAAAAGTATCGTCATTTTTAAAGCTTATATTTAGGCAGTTGATTAAATATAAATAAATATAAGATTCAAAGTTGGTAAAAAAAATTTCCTTAAGGAGTTAAAATGAAATAGGGAATAAAAGTTTGTATGAAAATTCGTTATTTTTAAAGTTGGAGCGATGAAAATTTTTTCTTTGGCTTTTTTTGGTTAGGTTATAATTGAATGTTTTTTCATTATTTCGCCAAGGACACCAATCCACGCGGACGAAATCACTGATACACCTATTTTATATATTGAACTACATGACTCTGTGAATTTCTTATCACATACATTTTATTACAAATTTCAATTGAGACAATATGACTAACACGATGACGAGCCATCCGACATAGGACTGATGAGAGAATGTTATGGATGTAAAAATGATACCTAATGTAATAAACTTACCAGCGACTTTCGAGTGGTAAGCGACACCAACACCGCATACGCCATTGTCCCGAGCCGCCGCCACCTCGCCAGCGCAACGAGTTCCGTGACTGTTGACAATGATTCTCAAATTAGTCTATTCTAAAATATAAAGCTGAGGTGGGAAGTGGATTGATAATAATGTGGTCATATAACCTCATTGCTAGCAATATAGCATGTCAGGTCTCCACGAGATTCACTTGGAAAACACCGTGATAAATCCCTGGTGAATTCGTCACGTAGGGCTAACTGATCTGAGCTTATATTCATCTGGTGCCTCATCAGCGTAAACCGTTAGCCAGGCGTATGTACCATACCATCAAAATCTATTAAAATATAAAGATAAAGGGAGTTTAAGCTCAGGACTGTCCATTGGCTCCCAGCAGCCTTCTGTTAGTGAAAGGGAGCGCACTATAGCGCGCAAAAATATTGAAAAATATAAATGTATATATAAAATTAAATAGTTTCTTGTGTAATGTTGTGGTCCAATTGCTGGTGAAACTTTTTCTTCAAAATTATGTACATTTTGAAGAAAAAGTTTCACCAGCATAAGAAAATGGCAGACGGAAAAATATTAAAAAACTCAGTTTAGTCTTTTAATAATACTAATACAAGACACAAATATACATAAATATTATCTATTTAGCTTTGAATTATAAATTAAACATCTACTTCGAAAGTTATTTAAAATCTTCTGAAATAATAGGCATTGAAGAATGTTAGGAAAATATCTTTAATTCCGAATTTTCGTTCGTTAGAATTCACCAACATTCTTTTGCATTTTAATATTAGTTATTTACTCCAGCATTTGTAAATTATATACATAGATATGTATCTATATATGTAATTGACAAATGCTAGAGTTAAAAATTACAAAACAAAGTTCCCTGTCGTATCTACTTGTATGGTAGCACATTCATTCATAATTTAAGAGCTACGCTCTTGTCGGTGGAGCTCTTACCACTTTCCGCGATCTTCCATCATGCTACGATGGTAGCACAAGATAGCAATAATCTCAAAAACTACTGAACGGATTTTCATACCGTTTTCGTATATCAAAACAATAATTCCTGGCGAACGTTTAGATGTCTAGTATAATCTATATATATAAAGAAAATTGGAGTGTCTGTTTGTAATATTGACTGATTGAATTCTTACTACATCCACATGTATATAAATACGATACATACACCAAAATAACATTTTTACAATTTTTGTCTGTCTGTCTGTCGGTCTGTTTGTTCCGGTTAATCTATAAATAGCAAATAGCTCGCATGAAAATGCTACCTCTATATAATTTAACCATATGGCAAGCTACGACAGTATAGCATATTTTCTGCTATTAAATATTTAAACAAAGGACCTAAGACTTGATTTAAATCTACAGGAAATATTCTCTTCTATGCCATTTACTATACTTCGTTCATACAACAACCCATTAACGTGCCATTATAGGGCACTCGTCTATCAGTATAAGAGGACATAAACTTACTACTACCCATTATGATAAAATGCTTTGATCTTATGTTCCTTCACACAGCACACTGCACTAGTGCAATGTGCTTTTATTGAGTGGAACAGGGTATTGTTAGTAATGTGGACTGATGACTGATGACTCATTGCTAGCTATGTACCAAGTCAGCTTAACCTCCACTCCAATTTGTCACAGGAACACCTCCAGCGTAAACCGCTATCTCAGACTGTGCACCATTTCACTATCATCCATTAAAAAAATGTTTTATCTCTTGTCGATCGTAAGGTTAAATTTTCTATTCCTATAAGAGAATATTAGCCTCCTATCACGCTAAGTATATCGGTATATTGCTTCACTCGAGTGCAGTAAAAATGAATGTAACATATATGAATTCTTATAAGTTTTTTTATATGTATTGAATTGGACAAGTAAGCTGACGGCTAATCTGATAAGCGGTAATCGTCGCTATATACATGAACAGTACATGGATATCACATTATCACTCATGCGTTACCACGCCTCATGTCATGCGTTATCATGCCCATGTCATGCCTATTATCCTGTAATTTTACTGCCAAAACATTGAAACATAAAGAAAGCTGCTTAGCTGAAAGGATGAAATAGATGAGACTAAGATACACATGCTCACAATGATGAGACTGACCATATCACTACATATAATTTCATACATATTTGAAATAATTGAGAATATAGTAAGATGTAGGTTTTATTTTGTTAGCGACCAGGAAATAGCCATTAGATATTGCATAAAAATAAAATAAAACATTTTGAAAATAGAACGTTGCAGCGATATTGTTTTGTTTATTTTTATAAATATACACATTCTTCTAGCACGTTGTTATTGTTGAACAATAATTATATTAATTACGCAAAATAATTAGTATTTTTTATAATAATACTACATGCAATATTCGTACACTAAACATACTCAATCAAACAATGAAACGCCCTTGCGAGTATGCAATTAAACAAAGAATTTATTATTCCTAAATATCATTTATTAGTTTTACTATAACTTACTTCTAGTAAGATGAGATTTAGAATTAAAAAATTCTTTCCTAAATTATACATCGACTTGCAAGTAAGTTTTTTTTAATATTTTATAGGTGTCATATGGTATAAAGTTGAATTTTAAAAATTCGTTAGTTTGTATTGCAATTCTATATTGAAACTAAGAGAATTGTATACTATGTTATTTATACTGTTATTTGAATTTAACATTTCACTGAATTAAACTCACCTGTTAAACCAATCATCAGTGTATCTCGGGTAAGGAAATGGGTCGTTACTGCTAAAATCGTACGACGCTTCCGCATTCTGGAACAAACAGGTACATCTAAAATATACATACACATTTTCTTATGTACCTATATTTATTTTTATTTACAGATACTAAATTCGTAAGTTTTTACGAAGATACACAGCTGAAGGAATTGGGATAAAATATGGACAGAATATTTTGTTAATTATGAGTCAACCAAAGAAAGCTGAGAAATATCCCCTAAATAAGTGAAATGATACTTATATATTCTATTGAAGAAGTAGTGAAATGAACTTAGCAAAATAGCACTTAGCTATTTTGCGGAAGTTCATTTCACTACTTAATGGATTTATTTATTTAATTCCACAATTAGCATGACATTCTCTAATGTGACCACAAAAGTTATAAACGTTTGCTATTCCGAACACTATGAGTACGAAGTTGCGGACTTAACTAGTTAACGAATATGATTTATAGATAATACAATACTTATGAAGGGTTACTACAGTTTGCAGCAAAGCTTCTACTAGTATTGTATTATGTTACAGTCTGCCGAAATAGAGAAAAAGCCTGCTGGATTTTGTACGGCTTAAAAGCAACCTATTTTAATAATGAAGCCTCCTTTATAAACTTCTTTTTGAGTCGTAAAAATCAACATCAAGTGGGCGAAAATGTGGGTGAAGGTAGTTCAGGATATTCGCCTACTTTTTGTTTTTTCTTTGTTTTATGTCACTCTGTTTTTTATAACAACCTTTTGTCCGATGTATATCTATAGACAAAACAATTCTCATACTGATAAATTTTATATCATCTCCACTAATTACATAATTCTAAATGCCAACAAAAAAAATCGCCATTATAATTTATGCGAAATCTGGAGAGAATTGTAATTTGTTGAATTTAGTGAAAACTGTACATCAACCTAACTTTATTTATAATCTATATCAATGTTTCGTTTTATTAATCTGTGCAGGATACAGGTGTAATAAAATACATGCTCTCTGTTTCTATTCTCTCTTATGTAAAAAATCCTTTGTTCTAAATATCACGTGTATTGAGAAATTAAATAGCAACTGTACGTGAATTAAACTGCGTCCTAATAATTGCAAATAATAGCGACTATTGTGCTTTCTTTACTGAATTATATTTTGGTGAACAAATGTATGAGTTCTTTTACTACCGAAAAAATATTCTTAAAGGGGTCATGCAATGAACGAGTACATACATATGTCAACCATTAAAAAAGAATGGTTGACATATGTATGTACTCGTATACGATATAAATTTTGTCTTTGGGATGTGTAGTTTTTTTTTCTTTTATACTCTTGACTAAATTACTATTGTGTTATATATACCTTGTACTTGTACATACACAATATAGACGTGATTATCTATTCTATTCTTTTCTTGTTAATTGTGCATAAAAGATTTCAAAATTCTCTCACTCTTTTAAGTACAATATGCTTCTTTTCAACAGAACATTTGTTATTGATAGTCTCCAATGCATCAAAGATCGGCATTTATACCTATATACCAAAGCATGACTACAGGATTATATACATACGTAGGTACTTACCTTTTATGCTCCCAAGCAAGCATAGTAAAGTGTTTACTTTACTATGCTTGCTTTATTATATATTCCTGTTTGAATAGTAAGTATTGTAGCATTATTACTCGATATAGAGACAGTACCATAATCCGCAAGAGGAAGGAGATTTTTAATAAAAGGGACTAGTGACCACATTGCAGGCAATATATTATGTCAGGGTGACCTTCATGCGATTCTCTCTGGAAACTATCCTATATAACTGGCCTGCCATTAAACAGAATAATCTATAATAAAACACTAGGTTACAGCATATTTGACGACAGCAAAATAGGTATTTTGCTGTCCGTCTAAGTAAGTAGGTAAGATGACATTACCAGGTGGTAATGTCATCTTACCTACTACAACAGGTACCAGTATGTTCTTATCCAGTCCAGTTGTATAAAATATATGGCTATTATTTTGTCTTATTTTCGATGTCTCTCAGTAACCCATATCTGCGGACGTCACAATATCAAATTACAATCCTTTGACGTCGACACGCGTTGTACCATTTGCTATATTTAGGGCTTCATACTAAAATTAGACCAAGACAATTTAGAAGTGGATTCCAAGACTTATTTACCAATAGGAAATGAAACTACAAGTCTTGAACTTTATCCTTAACTGAAAGCTTTTACTTTAACTGGGTATGTAGGATAACATACTCCGAAGTAATTCCACTAATGTAACAATAGATTTACACCTACTCAAGGAGAGCAGTACCGTGTATTCACTAGTAACATGTATTGCTATATACCTACTCCACGATCTCGGTGGTTTTTTAGTTTGACACACCACCTTACTTCAATGATCGTGCATTTGATTTCAAAATTGTCAATATAAAAATTTACATTGCATTTATAGGTATGAATAAAATATATAAAACATTATTATGAGAAATTACAGGATAAGTCGCGTGACATCTTAGTTCTCTGGAATGGCAACAAGAGTCGTATCACGGGTATCACATGACAACGTGATATCCATAGTACTGTTCATGTATATAAGTGACTGATACCACTTACCATCAGGTAGGCTGTCAGCTTGTTTGGTATTCTAATTACATATAATAATCTGATGTATAAAATACATATATACATTTAAACGTCTTGAGGCGTTCTCGACCTCCCGTTATGCTTGAAGTTTACCTAATTTCACCTGTGTTTAAAACATTAAATTACAACATATTGGTCATCAAATTGACACTGCCTTCGTTTTTGAAATAGGTTGAAAAATATGTATACACGAAAATTCAGTACGTATTTTGCAAAGCTTCATTGCCGTTTGAATGCGTATTATTCATATTATTACTATGTTGAGAGTTTGCTTTGAACGCCTGCTTTCATTTAACTAACTTCTGAACTTTGTATTGACTTTAAATTATTCATTCAGTACCTACAAAGTTCAAAAAGTCACCCTGCTAAAGCAAGAAAAGTTGAGTATTATTGATTTTAGACCTCGATATTGTATAATTAATCGAGCGTCCCTTTAAGTTTATTTCTTGGGAAATAATTTAGACACCTTGAACAAAAATCTGAATTTTTTTTTATTACCTTTATGTAAAGTAAGTAAAGAAAGAGAGAAAGAGCAAATTTTATGTTTGTTTGTAATGGAGAAACTATAGAATAATTGACCCATTTCAATGATTTTTTCATAAAGTAGGTAAATCATTAGTATAACATATTATGTTATCTGTGGTATAACATAGGCTCTACTTTATTTTCGCATAAATAAATATGCAACAAATAGTTAACATCAATACAAAATCCGGGTGTCATTGAGTGAATACCAATCACATGTCGTTAAATATATATATATATATATAACATAGAATTTCTATCTTAAGTATGCTATTTATATTCTAAAATACCTGTGAGTACATAAATATTATATAAAAAAAACAATTGGACACAAATTATATTGTGAATGGAGTCAACGAGAGTAGTCAGCACACAAAAGGAAAGCCGACATTAGGCTTTGCTTCGGACAATTCCTTTGTACCGTTTCTGCTCGGTTGAACATGAATTCATTATTCAAATCCTGTCCAAGATTTCATCATACTGTAGATCGTTATACCATAATAAATATATACAATCGTAAACAAGTCTTGATCGTTCATTAAATCCTTTTCCAAAAAACACATTGAATTTTAATTTCAAAGAGCTAAATAAGTAGTTTTTTTCGTTCTGTTTTACAAATCAAATTTACTTAGCGATTGGTTCAATTTTGATCCTTTATGTAATAAAAACGTATAATTATAATTTCTCAATCCCAAATAAAGAAAAATGTAGGGTATATACAAAACAAATATACATTGTTCAGTTGTAATAGTTGTTGAATAAAAAGAAAAGAATTTATTATGAGTAAACATTATATTATTAGTATTTTTTATGTAACTGTAAAAACAAACATATGAATACGAAGAATGCCGTGGATATCACGTGGTCACGTGACGCCCGTAATACCCCTTAAGCTCTGCCATTGTGGAGACCTTAGATGTCATGCCCCGTTACAAATTTAGACTTACATTTTTTTATGACATATTTTATTAATACATACATACAATAATGATAAATTAAACCTTAAACGAAATAATAATTGCTAAATACATTTTATTTTATTATTTACAATCTGCAGTTTTCTTATCAAATGAAATATGATTTTTTGTAATAAATAAATAACAATATCTCCTGTCTAAAGAAAGCTGCTTAATAAAGGCTATAAAGAAAAAATCAAATAAGTAAAACGAAAGACAGAACGAGCTCATAGAGTACGCCTACCTTGTTTCTACCTACTGTCTATCTTCTCTCACCTATCCAAAGGTTGTTTTGAATTAGATTAATTAAGCGATAAGATAGCCTTTTGTAGCTTACTACTGTGTCAAGTATGCTCCCATTATTAATAAGAGTTCTATATTGAAAGTTTAAAACAAAAAAAATCTATTAAAATTGTATTTAATTTCAAACTACCTAAAACATTTAATACAAATTAATTAGTTTCATTTTTTTTGCAGTACAAAATTGTGTTACTTTTATTGTTATTATTCAAAAACTTAATAAAGCAATAACAAACAACCTTTGTGCCTTTCAAAAAGTATTTTTTTTTAAATTAGTACAGTGTTCCGGTATTTACTTTCCTCATAATAATATCTCTCTCTTCTCTCAAAGTCTAAAGTAGATAATAATGACGTTTGTTTACATAATATAAAATGTAGTCGCTTCATTATCTGAATAGACACATACAATAAATTTAGATCTCTGTAACTACACAGCGGTTTTTTACGCAGTTTTTATCAGTAGATGTAGTGATTTAAGAGTGAGGTTTAAATATATATTTAAACGTCACTTTAAAGTACCGACTGAGCTTTATTCCCACGCCGTAAAAATGATCCTTATTATTATTATAATTTATAAGAGTACTTTTACCAAAACATGAAACGCATTTAAATGAGCCATTTAGCATAATATGGTGATATCTGCGGTGATGAATAAGACATTTTCATTTAAAATTCAAGCGTGAAACAAATCTTGAGAATTAGGTGATAATATAAAGGAATGGTATTTTTTATTAAAGTTAGCAGGAATCAGGGTTGGCAACCTAATTGAGTAGGGTGAAATAGGTGGCCCTAAGACGGAACCTGCCTTACATCATCTATAGGGCGGGCGAATGACGCCGGAGACGTAGTAGAATGCTAACGGGACCTAGCGAATCCGGCAATGGGGCTCGTAGCTACACCGTATAGTTTTTAATGGGTAAGAATCCACACACACACCCTCGATAGCCCTCTGGCGGGAGAGGGCGGTCTTTTGAAGAATTTTCCACACGATAAAAGAAAGGGTTGCCAACCTTAAAACTTTTTGCCCGACACCATACTAGAAATTGTTATTTGTTACGCCTAACTAAAAGGTGTATAATATATATGAATGAAAATGCCTGTACCAACTACCGAAAACCTGTACCAAATACAGATACGGAAAACCAAATTTTTATATATCTGCAAAGATTCTCGTACAGTTAGCACCCCTAGCTAGAGTTGGCTTCGGCTTTTTGTGCCGGACCGTGGAGAATTACGGTGCTAACCTATCCCTGAGGAGACATATATGTAAACGTAATATGGAAACGAGAGCAATGAAAAAAATATTGCGAAGACTAACAGTCGAGGGTAGAGTGAGGTGTCAGGGTGTGAAGTGTGGAATTTTTGCTCACTAAAAACTACAGGATTTGTGTGACAACAATGCGGCTGTCATTATTAATTCATCATGTGGTGCGTTAACAGTCTACTCGGCCTCAGTGGTAATTGTAGAGCAGATATCGTGGCGGAATGTCTAAATAAATCGCAGAATAAGCCTTTTAAACTTATTGCTTAATTTTATTTAACTTATTAAAATCTATAGACTTACATAATTGTACTTCAAGTCTGGATGCATGTAGTCCACACCTGAAAATAAAATACAAATAACTACTATGCAAGTAAAAATTTAACCAGAGTAGTATATAAAATATTTTATATGATACGTATATACTTTTTTCTATAAGATCACAATTAGTTAAAAAGAGAATAGAAAAAAGGTTTTCTTTTTATTACAACTCTTATTTTCTATATTCTTTGACACAATCAGTCAATGTAATGAAAATTAGGTACATTAAGATGTTAAGTCTTCTTTAACATTAGACAACGAGTGTCTTAACAACATTACATATTATATAACAAATATAAATTATAGTACCAGCTGAGACTGCAAACATGTACCCTTATAACTTTTTTGTTTGTGAATAGATTTGAATAAAACTACACATATATTTTTTTAATGAAGTACCTATTTTTATTTATATAAGGATACCCAATACACTAGTGGAAACCGTACATAATTGCGTAAAGCCGTTTCTGAGATTAACGCGCACAAAGACAAAAATTCTAACAGTCAATATTCAGTGTTTTACTACATTGATAAAGTCCCCCAACAATAGTTTTTTCTTATAGTGTACAGTCCCATTTTTATTTGTATATCCCTCACAATTGCAGAAAATCTTTTACTGAGAAATAAATTGTTTTATTTTTATTTTTAACATTGCGTAGGCAATAGGAAGAGAGTTGAGATGTATAGTAATATGGCTTCAAACTTTGTATTCTTGCTAAATTAGGCCCTTGCAAAAGTTTTCCTATGTAAGAATGTAATATGAATTACCTACTAGCCTTATAATGGTAAATTGGGAGTTTTGCCAATAATTGGGCACTAGCCCAGTTACTCAATACTGCTTTGTAAATATTGAGAATATATAAAACTTACGTAATAATAAAGCTATAGAAACTATATATAGAAATATTTCTATATACAAACTATTGATTTTTGTACTGAAAGAGCGTATATGTTACATATACCTTTTACCATCGATCGTATCGTTCGCCATTGACAGGGAATTCATCCCCACATGCTAGAACCTAGGTGGTCTCGGACAGTGCGGTTTTAGAGGAGATTTCCTACCGCATTCACTTAGATTGTGGAATAAACTACCTGCCGAGGTTTTCTCACGAGACTACATCATGGGGTTTTTCAAGAAGGTAGTAGGGAAGTATATTAAGGTTTCTTAAGGGTCGGCAACGCGCACGCGACACTCCTGGTATCTCAGGCGCCCATAGACTACGGTACCCGTTTACCATCAGATGGGCCGTAAGCTTGTTTGCCACCATCATAGTAAAAAAAAATGTGTAAAGTTAACTATTGACTGACAACAGTAATTAAGTTATATTGTACTTACCATCATCCATAATGGCAGTGGTCACATTTACTCCAGTGTACCCCTGTGACCACGCCGCCTCCACATTAAGGTCCAACTTGGGCTTGCCTCCATTCTGGCCCGTATTTTTCAGGTACCATTGTAAAGGAAAATAGGGATCTCGGGGTTCCGCTGCAGGAGCTGTTTCAGGTAAGCGCAGCGGGCGGAAACCCCTTTTCACCCTCTTAAACCCCGTCTGCTGCACTGCCGTGTGAACCTAACGAACAATGAAAATTGTAATTAAAATTACTTGCATTATTCTGGAACTAATACTACATGCGATTTTGTTTGTCTTTTTTTAGACTAAAGATATCCTAAACTGCGTGATATAATATACATATTTTAACGTCAAATTTCAAAAAGATCCCTCCGCCTGTGATGTAGTATATCCTTATAATAGATATTTTTATTATATGTATTTATTACCGTTTAGTCGTGAAAATTTTATAAAAAAGACAAACATTCAGATTTAAGTTAGTAGTGTAATGATGCTGGTTTACGAGTAACTTTGTTCTGGTTTCATAAGAGTGGGGTGAGTTAGATCTAAATACAATAGTGTCAAATAGAAATCAAATGTAATTATTTCATCCGAAATCGAACGCAAGTACGTACATAAAAAAAAATTAAACAAAAATGGAAAAATAAACAGTACTGACTGTTCCAATTCCTATTAAACATCGGCTAATTAAGTACGTTGTTAACTTTCCATAATTAAGCCGGTAGCACAATATCTGCTATTCAATTCTTGCCATAATCATTCATTAATGTCAGAAAATGGTGGAAATAACGTCAGCCTGGATTAACGAATGATTGATCTTTCGACGCGAATCTAGTCGCCCTGTTGTTTCGTTCGTAATTGATTGAAACATTATTAATGTGTTCTAAAATTATTCAATCGTGAATGTTAGAAATTTAGGCATTCGGTGTGCGTGATGTATCAGACAGCTAATAAGTTATGTACGTCTTTGATGTTAAACTCAGACGGTGCTTTGGCAGTTTCTAAGTCACGATTGGCACGCCCTCTAGACTCTAGACTGTATAATGTATATATTTATTTTAGGAAGGGAGAAGAGGGCGTCATTGTCATACCATACCTGTCTACTACTATGACTTAGACGACAGGTTCGTGAGTTCGAATCTGGTCCTCACTAAAAGTCTTTCTGTGTTCAGTTATATATTTTAGTAGTTATATATATTTGACTGAGGTAAGGTTTCATTCCTATCGTCGGAGACAAAAACTAATATACCAAAATTAATCCAAGAGACAGGTAGAATGGTAACATATTTGATGGTAACAATGACGTCAATTTGGCAATAGTTCTTATATGGTATGGCAAATGAAGGTATATTTTATATTAATAATAATTTAAGAATATTTTTAATCAACGAACTAATTATTTTCAACAATATTATAACTGTTATTTTAACTACATTTCAAGATTAGTGTGTTGTGGAAATATAGTTAAAATTTAAACAAAACATATTCTTATACCTTATTCATAGGTAGTAAAAAACAATACCAGATGTAGACTGAAAAAGTCGTCTGGGTACCTCAGTCTCATCTATTTCAGCCGTCAAGCAGCTTTCGGTTGTAAGGTGCAATTAGGCAGTGTAATTACAGGATAAGAGGCTTGACATCCTGGTCCTCTTGAATGGCAACACATGAGTATATAGGCGACAGTTATCGCTTACCATCAGGTGGGACGGGAGCTTGTTTATCATTCTAATTACTTTACACTGTTACAAGAAACTGCTTGTTTAACAAATTTATTATATTTACAGACTAGCAGTTATCCGCGATTTCCAACATGGAATTAAATAATCTTTTTTATTAAAAAAAATCTTTAATAAAAGCAGCTTAATTTACAGCTATAATTTAAGAGATAAGCAAAAACAAACAGACAGACAGACAAAAGTTATTAAAATTAATTTTATTGATTTGATTGAGTACTGCATATACTGTGATAAGCCTTTAGTGAAAAGCGGTTAATTTAAAATAACCAACATAAAAAATTTGTATATCTGTATAGATAAACTATAATAATATTAGTATTATATATGAATGGATGCCTAAATATAAGGACGATATAAATAATATTGTAAATACGTAAAAAGGCATCCCTGTAAGTACACAATACTAAGTTGCAAAAATGTCCACTTTTCAGTTTACATCGTAACAATGTAAGTAATAATTTTATTAGTATAGCTCTAGTCTTTCAAGTTAGGTATACGAGTAAGTACTGAGGATCACATACATACACAAAGCTTTTCAGTCAGTGCTCGTTCTATAATTTACTACATTTACATAATAATACGTAGTATTACTATGTAGTCTAATGTGAGTGAAAAATTACCTCGTAGCCATTTAGGCTTAGTCTATGAGGACACCAGATCTATAGAGGCATTTTTTGTTAGCTAAAAACAAAGTGTGGATAGTGGACGCCTACGGCTACAGTACCTATGGATAATTGAACGTAGCTATGTATTATTTTTGTAGCATAATACTTTTTACTAATAAGGATCAGTTATATCGGAAAATCTGCGTGTTATCACGGCGCTAAATGAAATAATATTACCTCTCTGATAACACGTAATATCTTTTATCTACATAAAAATACGATTTTGTAATTATGAAAAAATACATTTTCAAAATCGATAATGTTCCCAATCCGTTCATATTTTTTTACTACATGTACTAGAGCAAGAGCCCACGACTGCCAGACATACGTCATTTTGATAAACGTGAAAGTTCTTGTATGTGTGTCCCCAACACAGGTAAGAACGATCCCCAAATATGAAACCTGGATCGTGGTTCCTTTGGCAGGTACCAGGTAACAAAGGTGTAAAAAAAATCATACCAAATTCGTTATTTTAAGAAACTCCATATTTTCATATATTGTTCGTAGCACTATTATAACTTGCGCTGCTCATTGCCAGACACGTAGTGTGGTTCCAACCCCCCGCCGGACCCCCTAAACTATACTATTTTAGAAATAAACTTACGTCATTTTAATAAAGCTGAAATTTATATATATTATTGAGAGTTCTCTCAAACTGAGTTTCCTAAATTGCCAGACAGTTTTCTTGGTTCCTTATCATACCAGACTCATTGAAACCGTATATTGGGTAACAACGGTGTATACAATTTCATATCAAATTCGTTATTTTAAGATGCTCCATTTTTTCACATATTGCTCGTAACAGTATTATAACTTGCTCTGCTCATTGCCAGACCCTTAGTGTGGTTCCAACCCCCCTCCGGACCCCCCTAAACTATACTATTTTATAAATAAACTTACGTCATTTTAATAAAGCTGAAATTTATATATATTATTGAGAGAACTATTAAACTGAGTTTCCTAAATTGCCAGACAGTTTTCTTGGTTCTTTATTCCACCAGAATCATTGAAACCGTATATTGGATAACAACGGTGTATACAATTTCATGTCAAATTCATTATTTTAAGATGCTCCATTTTTTCACATATTGTTCGTAGCATTATTATAACTTGCGCTGCTCATTGCCAGACACGTAGTGTGGTTCCAACCCCCGCCGGACCCCCTAAACTATACTATTTTATAAATAAACTTACGTCATTTTAATAAAGCTGAAATTTATATATATTATTGAGAGTTCTCTCAAACTGAGTTTCCTAAATTGCCAGACAGTTTTCTTGGTTCCTTATCATACCAGACTCATTGAAACCGTATATTAGGTAACAACGGTGTATACAATTTCATATCAAATTCGTTATTTTAAGATGCTCCATTTTTTCACATATTGCTCGTAACAGTATTATAACTTGCTCTGCTCATTGCCAGACCCTAAGTGTGGTTCCAACCCCCGCCGGACCCCCTAAACTATACTATTTTATAAATAAACTTACGTCATTTTAATAAAGCTGAACTTTATATATATTATTGAGAGAACTATTAAACTGAGTTTCCTAAATTGCCAGACAGTTTTCTTGGTTCCTTATCCTACCAAACTCATTGAAACCGTATATTGGGTAACAACGGTGTATACAATTTCATATCAAATTCGTTATTTTAAGATGCTCCATTTTTTCACATATTGCTCGTAACAGTATTATAACTTGCTCTGCTCGTTGCCAGACCCTTAGTGTGGTTCCAACCCTCCGCCGGACCCCCCCAAACTATACTATTTTATAAATAAACTTACGTCATTTTAATAAAGCTGAACCTTATATATATTATTGAGAGAACTATTAAACTGAGTTTCCTAAATTGCCAGACAGTTTTCTTGGTTCCTTATCCTACCAAACTCATTGAAACCGTATATTGGGTAACAACGGTGTATACAATTTCATATCAAATTCGTTATTTTAAGATGCTCCATTTTTTCACATATTGCTCGTAACAGTATTATAACTTGCTCTGCTCGTTGCCAGACCCTTAGTGTGGTTCCAACCCCCCGCCGAACCCCCCTAAACTATACTATTTTATAAATAAACTTACGTCATTTTAATAAAGCTGAACCTTATATATATTATTGAGAGAACTATTAAACTGAGTTTCCTAAATTGCCAGACAGTTTTCTTGGTTCCTTATCCTACCAGACTCATTGAAACCGTATATTGGGTAACAACGGTGTATACAATTTCATACCGAATTCGTTATTTTAAGATGCTCCATTTTTTCACATATTGCTCGTAACAGTATTATAACTTGCTCTGATCGTTGTCGAACCAAGAAAACTGTCTGGCAATTTAGGAAACTGAGTTTAATAGTTCTCTCAATAATATATATAAGGTTCAGCTTTATTAAAATGACGTAAGTTTATTTACAAAATAGTATAGTTTAGGGGGGTCCGGCGGGGGGTTGGAACCACACTAAGGGTCTGGCAACGAGCAGAGCAAGTTATAATACTGTTACGAGCAATATGTGAAAAAATGGAGCATCTTAAAATAACGAATTTGATATGAAATTGTATACACCGTTGTTACCCAATATACGGTTTCAATGAGTTTGGTAGGATAAGGAACCAAGAAAACTGTCTGGCAATTTAGGAAACTCAGTTTAATAGTTCTCTCAATAATATATATAAGGTTCAGCTTTATTAAAATGACGTAAGTTTATTTATAAAATAGTATAGTTTAGGGGGGTCCGGCGGGGAGGGTTGGAACCACACTAAGGGTCTGGCAATGAGCAGAGCAAGTTATAATACTGTTACGAGCAATATGTGATAAAATGGAG